TCAGATTTCTTATCGCAATAGGCGATACAGATCACATGACAACGCAGCTTAATTTGGTGTCGAACACAGAGCTTATAAGTGGGGCATTTGAGCGCCACAGCGGGTTTCTATTTCCGGTCTCGAGGAAGATAAATGCAGTAAATCGTCCCCAAGCCACGTTTTCTTGAAGCCCAGAGCCTGGGATCAGAATCTCGTTACAGTGGCTTTCCTGCACCACACGGCATAAACACGGGGCGGGTTAGTGCAGCGGTAACGCTCTGGACTCTCATTCTGTAGGTGCCTGGTTCGAGTTCCGGCCTGGACACCGGCTCTTCTGAGAGTCATAGTAGTTTTCCTCAGTCAGTCCATGAAAATTCCAGGATTGTGTCTCGTTTAGGCAACGACAGTTTCCTTGAAAATCGTTTCCATCTCACTATCATCCTAATCATATGAAGCTATGAACTCCAATTCAAAGGGTGCGCCAGCTATGGCCCGTGAGAAAAATTCTCGGCCCCCGGAGATTCTGTGAAAATTTTGACTATGTAATTTTAAATTCCTATCCACATTTCTTTTAGCGTTGGTTAGAAAGACTGTCATCAGCTGCAAACAGCGTTGTCTGTCGCGCTATGTGGTGAGGAACTGCATCAATTATCCACATTATTAAAAAATTGCTTCAAAAATATTGCATTGGCCTCTTTCCAGCCCGGAAAAACACTTGCAAAACCTCATGCCGCCCCTTGACAACAAACTTTGGCCAGACTTGTAGCTAATGAAGAGGCAGCAGGACGAGCAATACAGAAAGGAGTAATTATTAAATGGTTTGAGCCTGATTTCTGAAAGATAAATTTATTGAGACTTAGTGTTCCTTGATTGCTCCCAGGCTGACCGAGACGTAAAATGTACTGCATAAATTATGTAGCCTGAGGAGATATAAAAATAAGTAAACAATTTTTTAAATATGTAAAGGTACGTCAGGGGTAGAAGACTATTCTACAACAGTGTGATTCAGGTGCCTGGCGATTTTCCTCTAGTTTTCCCGGGCAAGAAGAAATAACGCAGGTTTTGGCCCCACCACCCGCTCTGCTCATGTTACACGTCATGCCAAATCCTAAACCCAACATCTCCTTTCTGTCAAGACTGTCTACCCAGACGTTTCAAAGTTGCATGCATTAAACCAATTTCCGACCATCATTGGTTGAAATAAAAACTCTTTCGGTGGACTTTGTCTCTCTACAGGATTACTGTGACGCCATGCAGTCTGGTAGAATCGTGCCGACGTTTCTCGCGAACTTACGTCCATATTTACGGGGATATAGAAATAGATGAAGCAGATTCCTCCAAAATGTATGGCTGAATGGTGTTACAGCTAACTTATAACTTCTCGGACATTTGGTCTGGAAGCTCCCTGCTTTCTGAAATGTGACGTCACATTTCAGACGTTTCGGGAAAATCTGCTACGTACATCTATACACTAATCTGAGTATGGACATAATGGGTTTCTTGGAAATGTCAGTCTCTTTCTACCAAGCTGCTCGGTGTCACGGCCAAGGAGGAGTAATCTTCACATTCGCCGCTGTGGGAGCCTCAAACCTCACACTGCCCTCCTCCAACCTCAGAGCATACAGACAGACCAAGTATCCAGAAACTTGTATTTAAAGCATACGGCCCCATGTATCATAACGCCGTGTAGTTCGGAGCCAGCAACATTTCAGAGGAACGCATCGCCTCCATCTTTAGGGTTAAAACAGCAAGCCATGTCTGTTTATATTGATTTCTTGCTTGGTTTACTTTCGATCCTGATGATGGAAGCGGTATCTTCCTCCGAAACATCAGATTCTCTCCGAACTACAAGAAGGCTGTGAGAACCCCTTTCCAAGAAAGTTGGAATTTCGCTCAACTGTGTGGCATCTGACAGCCCGCGAATAATCCCGTGCATTTATTCGTAGTGTATAATTTATATCGAAATTAATTTCGATTGTTTTATATGGCTCGGTACTTCAGGCGTGCGGGGTTGAATATTTGTTTATGCTTTTCAGTAACCTAGGCAACGGAAATTCTAACGCTCTTTTAGCATTTCCCCTCGAGTCTAAGTTCGTGGGGATGCTGAGTTATCCAGTTAGCTTTACCTCTTGGCATTCCTCGACAGCAAGCAACTTTATGCGCCCCAACCGCCAGATCTCAGAGGAATCGAGTGTGGAAACCACCACAGCCCCTGTAATACAACCCCAAATTATGTGCTGGAAGGCGCCACCTCCACACCATGTCATGATACCCCGCGGTCCCCCAGAGGCAACGCAGCGAGGTCCACATATCGACAAACGTAACGTACTCAGGAGTAAACATGCAAGCTCAAAACACTGACTCTCCTTCCTTTTGAAAACACTGTTATGGGTCTTCCACTTGAAATTTATATACCCGACATGCCATAATGTATATATGACCTTCCACTGTTAACAAACGGCGACGAATAATTATTTTATTAATATTAACGAACATAAATCAGAATCAGAATTTTCAGAGCTTCCAAGTGAGATATATCGTGCACATCAGGGAATGGGTTAATTTCCTTACTCGGAACACATTTCCTTACTCTTGGATTTGAGGTTATCAAAGCAACGACTGTGAACTGTACAGTCTTCCGGGTTGTAACGCCGTGCAGTTCGGGGAAAACCCAGACATTTCGGAGGAACCTATTGTGATACGTAGACCCACTGCCTAAGTAAGAACTGTGTAAACAGGGGACAGTACAATAGTCGTTGCTAGGGAACAGCTCTGTGGCCACGTATTTCCCCGGAAACGATGGAACACGCAATAATGGAAGAGACGTTTTCTGTGCGGTCCGTGCCGAGGATATATAATGAGGACTGTTAGTTCGTTGAGTCAGTCGAGAGTTGCAGTGGAGAGAAATGGGATCGTGGACAGTTCGGGAACCCACAGGAAGGGGAACGTTCGCCGTTGGAAGCTACTACCAAGCAACAGCTAGTGATGGCTGAGAATACATAGAGCGTGATTTAGCGATTTTTTAAGTGTGTAGATGAATGAAACTGTTACACTTAATTGTTCACCGAATATACTCGCAGTCTACTTATAAAACAACCTCGTACAGGACTCCACCATTATGGTCAACTAAGCACTATGCCATGAAAATGTATGGCGGAGTGGATGTATAGATCCACTTTTTTTTATCTCGGTACTAGTTGGAGGTGAGTGGTCAGCTTCACGCTCCGGCGGCTTTACCCCTTGGGAAATAGCCCCCGGTACCCATTTGAAAGTGGGTTGGGTAGACCCCAGAGCCAATCTGAATGACGCGAAGAGAAAATTCTTGACCCTGTTGGGACTTGAGCTCCGACTTCTCAGTCGTCCAGCCCGTAGCCTGTCGCTATACCAACAATGTTACCCAGGCTATCACCCAACATATATAACCACAACAAAAAATAGAAATGACATATGATCTAAAATGCTTGTGCTAAAACAACTTATCTTCCTTCTGCAGTCGAAATAACATCGTTAAATTAACATAAATTTAAAAATAATTAGACATCGCCTAAGTACATGTGCAGGAACGGGGTTAGATTGATAATGAGACAACACTGACAATAAATTTATTATCTGCACTCCACTGAACATCTTGCGGCGTATAAACAAAACTACTTACTATAGTTGTGAATACGTATTACGTCCGAATTTAGACACCACTGGAAGCCAAGTGGCGTGAAGACAACATAACGTTTATAGCAGACCTATGTAAAACACATGCTCGTATATACTCATGACACGATAAGTGAGTAATGAACCATCAGATGTGTAGTTCTCTCGGAGACATCCTGTATTACAAAAAAGTGACTGCACAAGGCTTCAATATCCGTACGGGAAACTTCGTTTCTTATGTACAAACCACCCCAGCCACCGGTAGACTGAGCAACCCCCATATTGGGGAGAGAAAGTGGGGAAAATACACAGGTTTGGAAGTAAAATAGGTTTATCTTTCGACTCTGAATCCTTACAGGCTACATCGAGTCACGGCGTGTCACCATTGTGGGGTGATGATTTGGGAAGAACGTCAGAGTGTCGAAATTGCATCGGCCGGTAACCGGTTTCGGGAGTAAATTACGCTTAACCATTGTTCTGTATCTCTTTATGATTACTCATACGATTAATCGTAAATATAATCCTTATTTCGTTGAGAGAATTTACCCATGTAACAGGGTTTTTGCAGAAGGTAAACCTCCATTTTATTCAGTTATATGTTACACTCTGGGTTATCTGTCAACAAATTTCACTCTTTTTCAACTACCCCTTCTTATGCTTTTCTATATAAAAAACTAATGTAACGGTGAGATCTATCACTGAAATTATTTAATTTCAGGTTACAATAGCAACGAATTATCGAACGTAAACAAGTTAGATGTGCTTTAAGTTATGTACTACTTCACGAAGTAGCGAGCAGTCTCTTGTTTCAATGTATCGTGTCTATTCTGTGAGTACCGAAAATATTATAATGTGGATATATGAAGTGTAGCATTCTATATAAAAAAGACGATTTACGATTGGCTAGTTGTCTGTGTTATTTGTGAGAGATGGCCTTAATCTCCGGCCTCGACGCATAATTCGATAACATGCAAGACTGAAAAAGAATATGGGAGAAAGCGGGGGAAAGCTTGTATAAAAAACGACGAGCCTTACCTCTGAATTCTCAACGGGTCTTATATTAGTAAGTATCTGCAAATATTTCACATTATTCAAACAAAACACGCCGGCTGTTCCGTCCACAGAAAATCAGTTCCCCCTTTCATGCGACTTTTCTGCAGGACACTTGCCTGCTAAGACCATTAGGAGTGCGGTTTTCTGCAATGTCTCGGACAGGGCGCTGGATATGTGCAAATGTGTCAAAACCCCAAGACCAATCTTCTTTTCGCCTTCACATTACATTCTCATGTATACTACATATGTGAAAAAAGTATAAACACTGAAGATGTCAGTAAACTTACAACTATTTATTTGCATTTCAGTGGCCCACTCACCATCCACTCCCTGTACTCGGTCAGATGGTTGGGGACATCTGCTTCAATCTGAAACAAACACAACACACGTCAGCGCGTGTCACGTGATAACATCACCTGGTACGTCAGTTAACCGATCTATCAACTACATACAGCATGCGACAGGGGACGTATTATGCACATAACATTGTACGAATATGTAGGGCAGGCATACAACCTAGCGGCTTGGGCACACACTTCACATCAGCTAGAGTTAGAGAACAGATCGGCCCGGATGTACACCCACAGTGGCTACTAGGAGCTACATGTGCCACTTAAACATTAAAAAATATAAATTCCTTTCTCCGCAGAATTATGTGTTTCTCACAATAAACAGCGATTATTTCCTTAGGCAGCTTCAGCGGACTGGTTATTGTTATGGAGATGAACATTCACAGTGAGGCACGGACTCACTTTTAAAATCATATTTACATGAGCTTCAGGTTTCAAAGGATTAATTACGAATTATACATAGAAAACTTTGTGTAGCGGAAAACAACTGAATCTGTACTCACATGTGGACTACCAGGTCAGAGGACGATCACACTGACTGAACATTTATCGTGGTTTTCCTCAGTCTCGCCTGCCGAATGCCTGACTACTGAATTCAGAACATTCTTATCATCTCACTCGAAACTATTTAAGCTCTACGATTCAGAAAGAATCGTTAGATAGTCTAGAAACACTATATTTGGGTAGACCGCACACCGGCATGCGTCAAGACGCGATGTCTGCGACATGACGCAAAGAAAGAAGTACAGTTGAAACGAATTAGATTATGAAAACCGCCGAACACCGGTCTGAGTCATGATGCTGACGTCAGCTTCATGCTGACGAAACACGAATGAAGCAATGTCTAATGTCTTGATGCTTGTTTTGACGCAGTTGGTGTGCGGCCGCCCTAAAACTTACAGACATGTTCACTTTATTTTGCCAAGTCGCCTACAGTCATCCTCAGTATCGTCATAAAATTACAAAACTTTCTTTCCGTTGCCATATCGTCATATCATATATACAGGTATGCGGGTTAGTATACAAATTCGTCATTCGAAAAGTCAAGGGTTCGAACGCTACCGTTCTCACTGATATCGATAATAAAATAAATAGGAATGCATGTCAGAATGGCAACAAATTACACGAATAAACAACCGCCGAAACGTCTACCTCGCTGAGGGCAAGGTGCGATGTTTTCCTGACGGCTCAAGTGGGGCTGCGATTGGACCTCAGTCCAAGGAAGTCCACATTTTCAACCCACATTTTCTAAGATCCATTTTACTGTTATCTTCACTTGAATAAGAATTGGATTTGGGAGCCGGTATAGCTCAGTCAGTATAGCGTCTAGGTTACGGGCTTGACACCGAGGAATCAGGTTTCGATTCCCAGTAGGGGCAAGAGCTTCTTCTCTACTCCACACCGAGCTGCCCGGCCCTGGAGTCCATCGAGCTCCTTACAAAATGGGTACTGGGGACTCCATCCCTCGGAATAAAACGGCAGGGGGGTGAAACTCACCACTCACCATTCACCTCCATCTAGTGCCGATGTTCTGGAAGATGGAGTTGTACCTCCACCCCCCCATTAGTTTTCACGGTATGGTGCTTAATTTGTTGCGCCCAGGGGTACCTTTATTCTTTGCGTCTACCCCAGACAGTGGACAGTGAAACGTTAACTGTGACGTAACAAATGGGATGCAGTCACAAGCCGTTAGTACACGGCGCGATGTGTAGTGACAGATCTTTGCCAAAAAGCAAAGGACCTGACTCATTGTCCGTTCAGTCTTTCCTAGCATCATTCAGTTCCCAGTGCCACGACGTGTGGGGCAATGGCAATCGTCACTTCCGGTCCATTCATTGCAGGCGGAAGTCAGGCTAGGAGTGGCATCCCCCACACATTCTCGTCTCATTAAGATTCAGAATACAAATAATCAAATAATGCAGAACCACAAGATTAATACAACTTGGAAGTGAGTAGGCCCACCAGCCGTTCAATGACAAGGCACACTGGCTTTCTATATCTCAGGTGAACATCAACTGTTTTATGACTATACTAATTACTCAGCCACATATAATGTCACACTGACTGACTGACTGACTGATTGACTCATCCCCAGTATCTAAAAATCATAATCTCACTAATAATTCTATGAAAAAATAAAGTTATCCCTGCAAAAGGGAGTGGAGGCCCACAGGGTTCTAAGACGTCGAGGTTCTCACATTTCGTAGACAGCTGGCTCACATATGGCGGTAAGGTTGTCAGCCTTACGCGCCGGTTGATCTGTAACCCGCAGGAAGATACCTGGTATTCATTTCTATGAGAGGCTGGGTCGACCCCAGGGCCATAATGCTGCTGGAAGGATTAGGTAAATAGAAAACATCCAATGACTTCAACGGGAATCAAATCCGCGACCTACAGAAACAGTAAAATTTCATAATCGTGAGATGTACGTATAATTATGCAACTCGGGTTAACGCAGCAACATGTCGAGCATTATCATCCAATATGAAAATAAATTATGTAGTATGTCACGAACGAGTGAGAAGTCTTTTGTGTCTTTTTGTGAATATTGATAATGTTTTCTTGTGGATATATGAAATGTCGTATTGTACATAAGAGGGGGAGTGGCGTTTATGATTTACTATTTGTGCGGGTCATTCGTGACAGATGGCGTTAAACTTTGACTTTTCAATTGATAACATGTAGGGCTGGAAGTGAACACGGGAGAGAGCGGGGGAAATAATGTTATGAAATGTTACACATATAACAAATTCCTAGCGAATTCTCAACGGGTGTCGCAGTAGCGAGTAAATGATGAAGTAACCAATCCATAGCGCCAATCCCGGGTCTGGTCAAGTGGGATTTGTGGTGGACAAAATGGAGCTTGGGCGGGTTTTCTCCGAGCACTTCGATTTCCCCTGTCAATCTTCATTCCCCCAAATTCTCCATCATCATAATCACCCTGGGCAGGCTACAATAGCCCAATCACTGGCCGCCGTGCCGAGTGGACCCAGTTGGACTACACCCCACCACTAAGCGAAATAAAAAAAAAAAACAATCCACGGGCAATCTCCTGCAATTGCGGCAGGTAATATTTACCCCCAAAAAGCTAAAAATCCCGTAACTAATTCACAGATATGGAGCCTAAACTTGAATACGAAGTTCGTGAAAGTAGAACAAAATTTTCCCCTTTATACATAGGCTTTACGGTCACCGGGAGGTCTAAAAGTAACATTCCTATGCGGCGCGTACATTTCTGTGCTACTGTAGAAGTGATGCGTTGACGTGCAACTGAAAGTGTTCTGCACGATAAAGCACAAACGAAACTCAGAGGCCTCTGCAAAATAACGTGACTACTAGGGCACATGGCCGCACAAACCGCTCTGCAGTAACATCTGACCACCCAGCAATAGCCACAACCACTGACAAACTGACATAACCTTTGTTCTCATCACATGACAAGAGTTTTGGAATTCAGTGCCACACAACAGAACATTTTGCGGGACGTGTCGCCATTGCATTATTTATCTACTTATCACGTGCTTTAACAGTGTTTACCGACAAACAGTAACAGGTTTCTAGTGACCTTGTATAAGAATGTTCTAGAACTCACTCATAACGCGGTGAAATGATCATTTTGTTGCTTAACAATACTGTGTCATTTGTAAACTTTTCATGCCGTCGAATTATATGGCAATGTTAGTGCTGAATACGAAAGGGTTTAAGCCACTGAGAATAAAATAGTTACTGTGGGGCACGCGGTACCGTAGTTGGTTGAGGCACTATGCTACAAGCTCGAAGGTTATGGGTTCGATTCCTAATGAGGCCATCGGATTTTTCAGTTGTCCTAATCCTTCCAGCCACAGTATGAATGTGGGGTCGACTGAGTCTATAACAGAAATGAGTACCAGCAATCCTCCTAGGTGTAAAGGGCGGCCGGGGCATGAGGCTAACAACCTCACCGTCATCTGTAAGCCGAGTGTCTAGAAAATGTGGGAGTCTCGACGTCTCACAACCCTTCGGGCCTCCACGGCCTGTTACAGGGATAGCTTTACTTTTACTATGTGAATCACCTTACTTACATTTAACAGAAACTACATTCTGTCACGCTTATGGATTCCCTAAGGTTCTTACAATAAACATTGACTATTTCTGTAGACAGCATTGACCGTACGGTCTCTCTGGCGGAGAAACACTGTTTGTGTTTACTGCGAGGTAAGAACTGGATTTTAAATTATCCGGATGAATTTCAAGGTTCAGAGGATTCAAGAGCAGTACTGTCGCCCGTTTTAGGGCACAATCTTAACGCTCGCCTGGACGGAGCAAGAGAATCTCCCACATTACATTTAAATAGCACACGACCGCTTCCATTCCCATTTCTTGACGTTATAGTAAGAAATTCGCTTAGTGGGGGGTGGAGTCCAGTTGGGTCCACTCGGCACGGCGGCCACTGATTGGCCTATTGTACTTGCCCCGGGTGATTATGATGATGGAAAATTTAATGGAATGAAGATTGGAAGGGGAAACCGAATTACTCGGAGAAAACCCGCCCCAGCGCCACTTTGTCCACCACAAATCCCACCTGACTAGACCCGGGATCGAACCTGGGCCGCCGCGATGGCAAGCCAGCCACTAACCGCTTGAGCTATGGCGCGGCCCACGTTTATAGTACATACATAGTACATAGTCATACTGTTATTCATTTGACGTTAAATATCCTCAGCAGTTGATATGCTACCGTTAAACACAGCATTATACAGACGTAATATCTCAAGAATATATTTAAGGACGTGCTGCGCAGTGTGAAAAAATCACCAGATTCTTAAAAACCTGTTAATGTGTCCTGTTCTAACTTGCTGCAAATTTGGAAGTTTTATCTCAGGATTAAAACAATATTAACTTGCATAAAGCAACAGAAAGTAGACAGCTCGTCCTTATTAAGCGAACGGGTAAAAAAAAACCGCACTATTCTAGCGAAGCACAAATCACATAATTACAGTTAAAGTTTTCCAGAATTGCTGCAATTCAGTATAATTTAA